CAAATGTGAGATGCTAATGCTAAACCTAAAGCATGAGTTTTTTAAAATTAATTTTAATTTTTTTTAATTAATTTATCAATTTTTTTCTTTTTATTCTTTTTTTTCTCTTTCTTTCTTTTTAATTTATTTTTTTCTTTTATTTATTTATTTATTTATTTTTATATATTTATTTTTATTTCTTTTCTTTCTTTTTTCTTTTATTTATTTTGTTATTTTTTTCTTTCTTTTTTATTTTAATAATTTTTTTATTATTTTATTTATTTATTTTATTTCTTTTTTTCTTTTATTTAAGTTTTTTTTTTTCTTTTTTCTTATTATTTTTATTATTATTATTATTATTATTATTATTATTATTATATTATTACTATTATTATTATTATTATTATTATTATTATTATTATTATTATTATTATTATTATTATTATTATTATTATTAATTTATTTTTATTTATTTATTTATTTTTATTTTTTTTCTTGCGTGAACATTCAAGTTAAAAACAAACCCGCAGTAAACATTCGTCTGTCGCGTCCTCCGCACTTTCGGGGTTTTTCGGTTAAATACAGCGCGCTAATTGGCGGTTCGGGATCACGTGACGGAACTTACGCAAAGGGGGGACGTAAAAATCAAAGAGCAGTAGCGGGGCAAGAGAGTATCACGCTACACGCGGTTTTGTCACTCGCGTTACGTCCGGGTGCCGAGAAGTCCGAGGTTCGTGAACGCAGCGCTGCACTTTACGCACGGACTTCAAAGGAAAAAAAAAAAAAAAAAAAAAGGTTGTGTAATTTTTGGGTTAAAAGTTAAAGACACAACAGCAGCACCCGGAGACTAAACCAGGACTAAACCAGGACTAAACCAGGTCTAAACCAGGTCTAAACCAGGACTAACCCAGAACTGAACCAGGACTAAACCGGGACTGAAGCAGGACGTGCGTGTCCCGGGAGCCTGCAGAGGGGATCGCGGAGGATTACGGTGTCGGTGACAGGTGAGTTCGCTGAAGCACCTGACAGGGACTCACCTGACAGGGACTCACCTGACAGGGACTGTGATCCAGTTTGGTTGGCGTCCGTCCTCTGCATTTGGTTCTTCTTGGGGAAAGTTCTTCTCAGGTCGAGGCTCCTGACACCACTCCCTGTTCCACATCATCTGAGCTCGGACAGAACTGGAGCTGCTCCTGCTGGGTCAGGACTCTGGTTTGGATCTAGTTCGACTGTATTTCTCTCACTAGGCTAAAAGCAGGACATTTTTAAAGTTGAATCACTTGAATAGGCTATTGTCATAAAATTATTTGGTTAATTAAAAGCCTAAAATAACAAATGCTGGTTGCTCTGTGAACACGGGGAACACCGGGACCTCTCTGAGTGTGCAGGTCCTGAACAGAAGTACACACTCACAATTTAGACTCACTCTGGAGTCACATGTTCACACATTGGTTCTTGTTCTGATCATCGTGTGTTACATTCTCTGTTTTGGCCACTGTTGGCAAAATAATTCAGAAATGAATCTGCATCTGAAGAACAATCTGTTATTGCTCTGGAGTCATACAGCGCGACATTTTAGAGGAAACGTGTTTCTCACATGATGCATGTGGAATAGTTCATTTGGACCACTGTCTGTGGTTTGGACCCGAGTTCATGTTCATACCAGAGGAACCAAAATTTGGTATTTGGTGCGGATTCAAGTGAACCGAGACCACCTGTTTTTTTGATGTTTTGGTCTGTTTGATTTGGTGCAGGTTTGGGCCTGACTGAAGCTTTCACACCAACAGAAACAAACCGAACTAAGAACCTTTGGTTCGAATGGAGCATTTGGTGCACACCAACTACTGTGAAAGCACTCTAAGATCCTCCATGTACATGCTGAGGAAACCCTCAGTTTATCTGCACTTTTCCTTTCCCGAGGATTTGTCCAAACGAGGCCTGCGGGCTTCACAGGTGAACAAACATTCATTATATTCAGTGTCAGTGTCAGGCCCGTACCTGGACAGAGTCTGAACATGAAAAACACACATGAAAGTGTCAGGTTTGAAATAAAAAGGTGTTCACAAAACAATGAAAGTTCACTTCAAACGAAAGACAATCAGTGTGTGCGGTGAAGGCCTCCTGAACACTTTGTATCTGAGTCACAACAGTCCCATGTGTTTTACTGTGACTGAAGTGTGTTTTCTTCTGTGTCTCAGGATCCACCAGAAACATCCTCCGTCTGAACCTGGTCCCAGCTGTGAGTCCCTCAGGAGTGACAAGTCTATGGTACATCCAATATCCTTCAGGAGAGAGCTGTGAGTGAGCGCTGTGTTTTATGGTGCATGATATTAGAAGTATATGTGGAGTTAGTTTGTCGAAGTAAAGACTCAGTCACTATAATTAAAAAGTTAAAGTTTAGGGTAAAACTATATTTAAAAAACATTGGTGTGAGATTTGTCCAAAACAGTGCTCTGGTTTATCATTTAAATTTAAAGTCCAAATGTATTTTCCTGTTAATTAAATCCAGCAGACTCCAGCACAGAGCAGAGTGTTCTGAAGCGTCCTCCACCTGTGAGTCCCTCAGGAGTGACCGCTCTATGGGAGAGACACATCATTTTGCCACAGAGCCACGAGTTTTCAAAAGCATTGATCATAAGAACAATATATAAATAATAAATAATAATGATGCATGTTTCATGTGTGTCTGTGACAGAGGGGAGCAGCCGGGTCCAGAGGTCTCCAGTGGTCAGCACCATCACACACAGCTGGACTCCATATTTAAGGTGTGTCATTCACTAAAGTTTGGAAATGTTCAGATGAATGAAGCTTGTTTCACACAGATCTGACACTGACTGCATTTGTGTTGTTTATAATGTGTCTGTTCAGCTTCTGGAGGAGGACATCTTCACTTTTGTCCAGAAGGAGCTGAAGAAGCTCCACAAGGTTCTGAGTACAGATGAGCCAGAAGGTTTAGATCCTGTGGAGGATGAGGATGAAGAGCAGAGGAGCTGCAGTGAGGCTGTTCTGAAGATCACACTGAACTTCCTGAGGAGGATGAAGCAGAAGGAGCTGGCTGAGCGTCTGAGGAGCAGTAGGACCATTTAACACATTTAACAAGGTGCTCACAGTCATTTTATCTTCTCTGAGACTCAGGTCTGTATCTGTTGTCTTCATTCAGGGACTTCTTCTGGAGTTTGTCGGCGTAAACTGAAGTCTGACCAGCAGCAGAAGTTTGAGTTTGTGTTTGAGGGCATCGCTAAAGCAGGAAACTCCAGCCTTCTGAATGAGATCTACACAGAGCTCTACATCACAGAGGGAGGGTCTTCAGAGGTCAACCAGGAACATGAGGTCAGACACATGGAAACAGCCTCCAGGACACCAGGCCCAGCAGAGACACCCATCACATGTGAAGACATGTTTAAAGGCCCAGCTCACACACATGGAGCCATCAGAACAGTGCTGACAAAGGGAGTGGCTGGCATCGGGAAAACAGTGCTCACTCAGAAGTTCAGTCTGGACTGGGCTAAAGGTGAAGCCAACCAGGACATACAGCTGCTGTTCCCGTTCACTTTCAGAGCACTCAATGTGCTGAAGGAGAGAAGCTTCAGCTTGGTGACACTTGTTGGTCACTTCTTTAGTCAAACACAAGCAGAACTCTGCAGCTTTGAAGACCTCCAGGTGCTCTTCATCTTTGACGGTCTGGACGAGTGCAGACCTCCTCTGGACTTCACCAAAACCGAGGCCCTGAGCGACCCCACAGAGTCCGCCTCAGTGCACGTGCTGCTGGTGAACCTCATCAGGGGGAGCCTGCTTCCCTCCGCTCGCCTCTGGATAACCACACGACCCGCGGCGGCCAATCAGATCCCTGCTGAGTGCGTCTCCATGGTGACAGAGGTCAGAGGGTTCACCGACCCGCAGAAGGAGCAGTACTTCAGGAAGAGGTTCAGAGACGAGGCCGACACAATCATCTCCCACATCAAGACGTCCAGAATCCTCCACATCATGTGTCACCTGCCGATCTTCTGCTGGATCGCTGCCGCAGTCCTGGAGCATCTGTTGAAAAGCAGAGAGAGAGGAGAGCTGCCCAAGACCCTGACTCAGATGTACATCCACTTCCTGGTGGTTCAGGCCAAAGTCAAGAACATCAAGTATGAAGAAGGATCTGAGACAGACCCACACTGGAGTCCAGAGACCAGGAAGATGGTGGAGTCTCTGGGAAAACTGGCCTTTGAGCAGCTGCAGAAAGGAAACCTGATCTTCTACGAGAGTGACCTGAGCGAGTGTGGGCTGGACGCTGCAGCGGCCTCAGTGTACTCCGGAGTGTTCACACAGGTCTTTAGAGAGGAGCCAGGCCTGTACCAGGACAAGGTCTACTGCTTCATCCATCTGAGTGTGTGCAGGAGTTTCTGGCTGCTCTTCACGTCCATCAGACCTTCATCAACACTGGGATCAACCTGCTCTCAGAGAAAACACAGAAGTGTACAATGTTCAGTGTGAAAAAAAAAACTAAAGCAGTCTTCATCCAGACAGCTGTGGACGAGGCCTTACAGAGTCCAAACGGACACCTGGACCTGCTCCTCCGCTTCCTCCTGGGTCTTTCACTGTCGACCAATCAGAGCCTTCTACAAGGTCTGCTGACACAGACAGGAAGTAGCTCCCAGACCAATCAGAAAACAGCTGAGTACATCAAGAAGAAGCTGAGTGAGGATGTGTCTGCAGAGAGGAGCATCAACCTGCTCCACTGTCTGAATGAACTGAATGATCGTTCTCTGGTGGAGCAGATCCAACAGTACCTGAGATCAGGACGTCTGTCTGAAGGTCGACTGTCTCCTGCTGAGTGGTCAGCTCTGGCCTTCATCTTACTGTCATCAGAAGAAGATCTGGACCAGTTTGAGCTGAAGAAATACTCTGCTTCAGAGGAGTTTCTCCTGAGGCTGCTGCCAGTGGTCAAGGCCTCCACCAAAGCTCTGTGAGTCTCCTTTGTTTAACAGAGGATGGTTTGATTCATTTTCTACATAAACAATGTTTTCTGTCTCCAGACTGAGCAGCTGTAACCTGTCAGAGAGAAGCTGTGAAGCTCTGTCCTCAGTCCTCAGCTCCCAGTCCTCTAGTCTGAGAGTCCTGGACCTCAGTCTCAACGACTTGAAGGACTCGGGGCTGAAGATGTTGTGTGTTGGACTGAAGAGTCGTCACTGTAAACTGGAACAGCTCAGGTCAGAGGGGTTCATATTCTTCACTATTATTACATAACCTGTTGGTGTTTGTGTTGGAAAATCACATTTGATAAAGTCACATAAAGATCTGGGACTTGTTCTTTGTCTCATTTGGGTTGAATGTTTCTAATGAATGGACTGATTCCAATAATCTGTGTCCTCAGACTGTCAGGTTGTCTGCTCTCAGAGGAAGGCTGTGCTTCTCTGGCCTCAGCTCTGAGGTCCAACCCCTCCCATCTGATAGAACTGGACCTCAGCTACAACCATCCAGGAGACACAGGAGTAAAGCTCCTGTGTGCTCTACAGGAGGACCCCCACTGCACACTGGACACTCTCAGGTATGGACATGCTCGCCTGCTTAACACTCACAATCATAAATGACAGTGTCATGAATAAAAACAGACTTCAGAAGCACCAGAGGCCTGTGCACCACAGATTGAGAAGAGTGTTAGGGTCAAAAGAACACATTTGAATGTCACATGGAGTGAAAATGCTCTGAGACAAACTCTGATGTGGTGTGTTTCCTTCAGACTGACACCTGCTGGAGAACGATGGATGAATCCAATCAAGAGATGTAAGTCTGACTTAACCCATTTAACTCTGGTCAGTTTTATGATTTTATTTGTGTCACACAAACAAAGCGTCTGTCAACATTCGATTTTACACAACCGGCTCATTTTTGAGGGTCACAGCGTTTCCTTTTTGAGCGAGTTCAAACACTGTTGTGATGTAGAGATGTAGAGTTTCAGGAGTCATCATCTGGACACTGTTTTTACAATCCAACACAAGTTTATTTGTACAAAATCACAATCATCACAATAAATAAATCAAAACATCAGAAGTGCTGCTGCTGGAGCAAAGGAGGAGCCCTGGAGCCACTGACACAGACACAACTGTTGGACTCAGCACAGGACTGTCTCCACACAAGCACAAGTCACACTGGACAAAACTGAACACAGCAACTGGACAAACCTGATGTTTGTGCAGGAGTTTCATTAGTGGTTGTGTGTGTTGGGATAGTGCTCTGAAGGGGGAGGGACTTAGCACGGGGAGCAAAGAGAGAGAAAGTGTGTGTCCTGGAGCACAGACGAGTGTAGGAATGTGTGGAGTGACGTCAGAGACTGGAGCTGCACTTTGTCACTGCAGCAACAAACTCCAGAGAAATCCAGATTTACACTGAGAATAATCTGAAATAGACTCCAGATTTACACTGAGAATAATCTGAAATAGACTCCAGATTTACACTGAGAATAATCTGAAATAGACTCCAGATTTACACTGAGAATAATCTGAAATAGACTGATGTGGGGCTGTGTGAAAGGAAATGTTTTTTACACTCACATAAATGTGAGACAAACAGAAGAGTGGAATGATGAGAGTGGACAGGGGACTAACTGCTGCTGTGTTGTGTTTTCTCTCCATCAGATTTCTGTGATTTCACTCTGGATCCAAACACAGCTCAACAGAAAACCTCAAACTGTCTGACAACAACAAGAAGGTGACACATGTGACAGAGGATCAGCCGTATCCAGATCATCAGGACAGATTTGACTCCTGGACTCAGATTCTGTGTTCCACTGGTCTGACTGGTCTCTGTTACTGGGAGGTCCAGTGGAGTGGACATGTTTCTATATCAGTGTCTTACAGAAGAATCAGAAGGAAAGGAGGCGGTTTTGACAGTTTGTTTGGACACAATGATCAGTCCTGGAGTCTGTTCTGTTCTAAAGATGGTTTCATTGTTTATCATAATAACGTTCGAAACCCTCCTCCCTCAGTCCTGTTCCTCTGGTGGGAGAGTATCAGTGTTTGTGGACTGTCCTGCTGGCTCTCTGTCCTTCTACACAGTCTCCTCTGACCAACTGACCCACCTCCACACCTTCAACACCACATTCACTCACACTCTGTTCCCTGGGTTTGGGCTCTGCTCTTATGGCTCCTCAGTGTCTCTGTGTGCTCCGACAGACTCACTCTCCTCGCTGTAAAACAGTCCAACATTTTTCATCTATTTTTACATCGTTGAACAAAAAAAGTGATGTTAATAGTGGAGTTTGACAGAAAAAGACATGAGCCTCACTTCAGCGTCTGGATGAAGATAATTGGATCATTTCACACCAAATCTCCAAAAGTCCCACTCGACCATCTCAGATTTGACTGAAAAAATTCTCGGAGGTTCACAAACTTTTCAACAGGAAAAGTCCCAGATTTTATCTCCCAACTCTTTATAGTTTTGTCATTAAAACTATTTTGTCGTCTCCCCCCTGACCTGTTTTGAGCAGAGTTTTCCGAGGAGCCACTTTCAGAACATTTGACACATTTTAACCCTTGAACATGTGAAGAATCTTAAATAGTTTTTTAGATACAGAAATCTGAAAGTGGCTCCTCGGAAAACTCTGCTCAAAACAGGTCAGGGGGGAGACGACAAAATATTTTTAATGACAAAACTATAAAGAGTTGGGAGATAAAATTTTGGGGGATTTGTCATGAAATGATCCAAACGTCTAGAGTGAGAGATGTGTGTGGGTGTTATATGTGTACGGGACCACAACTTTATAAAGTGTCATGAAATGTTTGAGAAAACCCTTCTCTCTCTCTTTCTACTTCCAAATGTTTGTCGTGTCAAGGCTGTGTTCTGTGTTGTGTCCACCAGAGGGCGCTCACAGTCAGTCTGAGGATGGACCAAAATGAACCAAACAGAGAAACACATAATAACAGCGATCAACAGATACATAAAGACAATTATTTGACATCACTCATCACAAATATAATCTCCAGATAAAAATATACATCAATAATTCATGAAAGCAACAATGTGCTTCTGCCAGACTCTTCTAATCGTACGTCACATGACTCCAGATACAAAAGAAATATGTTCTAGTTTACATTCAGACGACAAATTCACTTCAGTTCCTTCTTCTGCACACTTCTGTCATCTGAAAAGTGCTTCCAATATTGTTTTAGAATGATTAGCCCAGATCTCAGCACAGTACGTCAAATATGGTGCAACGAAAGAACAATAAAGTGTCTGTAGAGCTTTGTCCACTAAATATTTGGCCTTACCTAATACTGCCATGTTTTTGGATATTTGACTCTGTATATATTGTACGTGTTCTTTCCAATGACGTTTTTCATCAATAATAACACCTCGCCCTATAAAGCCTGACACATGAAATAATAGACACAACATTCTGATTCTTTCATATTTAACTCTGTATTGGATTTTTGAACAAAATGTAAAAAATAAAATAATGATAACATTGACTATTTTATAAGTAAAAATGTGTCATATTTGATACGTTGGGCCTTCGTGTCCATTTTATAAAGCCCAACCTGGTTTATTTTAGGACCAAACTAAATTCTCTTTGATGCATTTAGAACTCAGAGAAACTTTTCTGAACATTTCCTTTTCTGTTTTTAAATGTCTGAACAGAAGGATTTTTATTTTCCCACGTGGGACAAGAGAAAACAGTTTGTTTTGGCTCCTTGTTCAGGCTCAGACGTACGTCACATTTCCCACCGCACACGTGTGAGAAAGGATTATAATGATGATTGATGGTTCAGACCTGGTTTGGATCCTAGTTTAGTCCTGGTTTAGTTTTAGTTTAGACCTGGTTTAGATCTGGTTTAATCTTAGACAAACTTTATTGATCCACATAAATAAAATATAATAAAACAATATCTTAAAATAACAAAGAGAAAAAACATATAAATGATAATAAGATGGTACGTTTCAGTTGGACTTGAACATTGTAAAGAATAATGCAGAAAATTGTTTTAAAAGGCAAAGCAAACCGGACCCATAGAAAACAGTGTGAGCGGCTAAGCTAAGCTAACCCTTACAAACAAATGTGAGATGCTAATGCTAAACCTAAAGCATGAGTTTTTTAAAATTTATTTTAATTTTTTTAATTAATTTATCATTTTTTTTTTTTATTTCTTTTTTTTCTCTTTCTTTCTTTTTAATTTATTTTTTTCTTTTATTTATTTATTTATTTATTTTTATATATTTATTTTTATTTCTTTTCTTTCTATTTTCTTTTATTTATTTTGTTATTTTTTTCTTTCTTTTTATTTTAATAATTTTTTTTTATTATTTTATTTATTTATTTATTTTCTTTTTTCTTTTATTTAAGTTTTTTTTTTCTTTTTTTCTTATTATTTCTTTATTATTATTATTATTATTATTATTATTATTATTATTATTATTATTATTATTATTATTATTATTATTATTATTATTATTATTATTATTATTATTATTATTATTATTATTATTATTATTATTATTATTTTTATTTATTTATTTATTTTATTTTTTTTTCTTGCGTGAACATTCAAGTTAAAAACAAACCCGCAGTAAACATTCGTCTGTCGCGTCCTTCGCACTTTCGGGGGTTTTCGGTTAAATACAGCGCGCTAATTGGCGGTTCGGGATCACGTGACGGAATTTACGCAAAGGGGGGACGTAAAAATCAAAGAGCAGTAGCGGGGCAAGAGAGTATCACGCTACACGCGATTTTGTCACTCGCGTTACGTCCGGGTGCCGAGAAGTCCGAGGTTCGTGAACGCAGCGCTGCACTTTACGCACGGACTTCAAAGGAAAAAAAAAAAAAAAAAAAAAAGGTTGTGTAATTTTTGGGTTAAAAGTTAAAGACACAACAGCAGCACCCGGAGACTAAACCAGGACTAAACCAGGACTAAACCAGGTCTAACCAGGTCTAAACCAGGACTAACCCAGAATGAACAGGAGTTCTGTGCGGGAAAAGAGAGAATGTGCTGTGGACTACAGGTCCGGACGGGCTGCTCCGGTCCTCTGTGCTCAAGAACTGCAGTTGGTTCTGAGGTGGTGCAAAGCATCCGGACAGAAGCGTGAATCCAGTTTGGTTGGCGTCCGTCCTCTGCATTTGGTTCTTCTTGGGGAAAGTTCTTCTCAGGTCGAGGCTCCTGACACCACTCCCTGTTCCACATCATCTGAGCTCGGACAGAACTGGAGCTGCTCCTGCTGGGTCAGGACTCTGGTTTGGATCTAGTTCGACTGTATTTCTCTCACTAGGCTAAAAGCAGGACATTTTTAAAGTTGAATCACTTGAATAGGCTATTGTCATAAAATTATTTGGTTTAATTAAAAGCCTAAAATAACAAATGCTGGTTGCTCTGTGAACACGGGGAACACCGGGACCTCTCTGAGTGTGCAGGTCCTGAACAGAAGTACACACTCACAATTTAGACTCACTCTGGAGTCACATGTTCACACATTGGTTCTTGTTCTGATCATCGTGTGTTACATTCTCTGTTTTGGCCACTGTTGGCAAAATAATTCAGAAATGAATCTGCATCTGAAGAACAATCTGTTATTGCTCTGGAGTCATACAGCGCGACATTTTAGAGGAAACGTGTTTCTCACATGATGCATGTGGAATAGTTCATTTGGACCCACTGTCTGTGGTTTGGACCCGAGTTCATGTTCATACCAGAGGAACCAAAATTTGGTATTTGGTGCGGATTCAAGTGAACCGAGACCACCTGTTTTTTGATGTTTTGGTCTGTTTGATTTGGTGCAGGTTTGGGCCTGACTGAAGCTTTCACACCAACAGAAACAAACCGAACTAAGAACCTTTGGTTCGAATGGACCGTTTGGTGCACAACTACTGTCGGTGTGAAAGCACTCTAAGATCCTCCATGTACATGCTGAGGAAACCCTCAGTTTATCTGCACTTTTCCTTTCCCGAGGATTTGTCCAAACGAGGCCTGCGGGCTTCACAGGTGAACAAACATTCATTATATTCAGTGTCAGTGTCAGGCCCGTACCTGGACAGAGTCTGAACATGAAAAACACACATGAAAGTGTCAGGTTTGAAATAAAAAGGTGTTCACAAAACAATGAAAGTTCACTTCAAATGAAAGACAATCAGTGTGTGCGGTGAAGGCCTCCTGAACACTTTGTATCTGAGTCACAACAGTCCCATGTGTTTTACTGTGACTGAAGTGTGTTTTCTTCTGTGTCTCAGGATCCACCAGAAACATCCTCCGTCTGAACCTGGTCCCAGCTGTGAGTCCCTCAGGAGTGACAGGTCTATGGGAATTCCAATAACCTTCAGGAGAGAGCTGTGAGTGAGCGCTGTGTATTATGGTGCATGATATTATAAGTATATGGGGAATTATATCTGGTACACGGATTATTTAGTGTTTCACAAATTCTGTTCAATTGAAAATTCACTAAGTTCCCTTCAAGTTTGCTGATGTAAAGACTCAGTCATTGTAAATAAAAAGTTAAAGTTTAAGGAACAATTATATATAAAAAAAAAACATGTTGGTGTGAGATTTGTCCAAAACAGTGCTCTGATTTATCATTTAAATGTAAAGTCCAAATGTATTTTCCTGTTAATTAAATCCACCAGACTCCAGCACAGACCAGAGTCTTCTGAAGCGTCCCCCACCTGTGAGTCCCTCAGGAGTGACCGCTCTATGGGAGAGACACATCATTTTGCCACAGAGCCACGAGTTTTCAAAAGCATTGATCATAAGAACAATATATAAATAATAAATAATAATGATGCATGTTTCATGTGTGTCTGTGACAGAGGGGAGCAGCCGGGTCCAGAGGTCTCCAGTGGTCAGCACCATCACACACAGCTGGACTCCATATTTAAGGTGTGTCATTCACTAAAGTTTGGAAATGTTCAGATGAATGAAGCTTGTTTCACACAGATCTGACACTGACTGCATTTGTGTTGTTTATAATGTGTCTGTTCAGCTTCTGGAGGAGGACATCTTCACTTTTGTCCAGAAGGAGCTGAAGAAGCTCCACAAGGTTCTGAGTACAGATGAGCCAGAAGGTTTAGATCCTGTGGAGGATGAGGATGAAGAGCAGAGGAGCTGCAGTGAGGCTGTTCTGAAGATCACACTGAACTTCCTGAGGAGGATGAAGCAGAAGGAGCTGGCTGAGCGTCTGAGGAGCAGTAGGACCATTTAACACATTTAACAAGGTGCTCACAGTCATTTTATCTTCTCTGAGACTCAGGTCTGTATCTGTTGTCTTCATTCAGGGATTTATTCTGGAGTTTGTCAGCGTAAACTGAAGTCTGACCTGCAGCAGAAGTTTGAGTTTGTGTTTGAGGGCATCGCTAAAGCAGGAAACTCCAGCCTTCTGAATGAGATCTACACAGAGCTCTACATCACAGAGGGAGGGTCTTCAGAGGTCAACCAGGAACATGAGGTCAGACACATGGAAACAGCCTCCAGGACACCAGGCCCAGCAGAGACACCATCACATGTGAAGACATGTTTAAAGGCCCAGCTCACACACATGGAGCCATCAGAACAGTGCTGACAAAGGGAGTGGCTGGCATCGGGAAAACAGTGCTCACTCAGAAGTTCAGTCTGGACTGGGCTCAAAGGTGAAGCCAACCAGGACATACAGCTGCTGTTCCCGTTCACTTTCAGAGCACTCAATGTGCTGAAGGAGAGAAGCTTCAGCTTGGTGACACTTGTTGGTCACTTCTTTAGTCAAACACAAGCAGAACTCTGCAGCTTTTGAAGACCTCCAGGTGCTCTTCATCTTTGACGGTCTGGACGAGTGCAGACCTCCTCTGGACTTCACCAAAAACCGAGGCCCTGAGCGACCCCACAGAGTCCGCCTCAGTGCACGTGCTGCTGGTGAACCTCATCAGGGGGAGCCTGCTTCCCTCCGCTCGCCTCTGGATAACCACACGACCCGCGGCGGCCAATCAGATCCCTGCTGAGTGCGTCTCCATGGTGACAGAGGTCAGAGGGTTCACCGACCCGCAGAAGGAGCAGTACTTCAGGAAGAGGTTCAGAGACGAGGCCGACACAATCATCTCCCACATCAAGACGTCCAGAATCCTCCACATCATGTGTCACCTGCCGATCTTCTGCTGGATCGCTGCCGCAGTCCTGGAGCATCTGTTGAAAAGCAGAGAGAGAGGAGAGCTGCCCAAGACCCTGACTCAGATGTACATCCACTTCCTGGTGGTTCAGGCCAAAGTCAAGAACATCAAGTATGAAGAAGGATCTGAGACAGACCCACACTGGAGTCCAGAGACCAGGAAGATGGTGGAGTCTCTGGGAAAACTGGCCTTTGAGCAGCTGCAGAAAGGAAACCTGATCTTCTACGAGAGTGACCTGAGCGAGTGTGGGCTGGACGCTGCAGCGGCCTCAGTGTACTCCGGAGTGTTCACACAGGTCTTTAGAGAGGAGCCAGGCCTGTACCAGGACAAGGTCTACTGCTTCATCCATCTGAGTGTGCAGGAGTTTCTGGCTGCTCTTCACGTCCATCAGACCTTCATCAGCTCTGGGATCAATCTACTAGTGGAGAAAATGTCACAATCCTCATGTTAAAGCGTCAATGTTCAGTGTGACAAAAAAACTAAAGCATCTTCATCAGACAGCTGTGGACCAGGCCTTACAGAGTCCAAACGGACACCTGGACCTGCTCCTCCGCTTCCTCCTGGGTCTTTCACTGTCGACCAATCAGAGCCTTCTACAAGGTCTGCTGACACAGACAGGAAGTAGCTCCCAGACCAATCAGAAAACAGCTGAGTACATCAAGAAGAAGCTGAGTGAGGATGTGTCTGCAGAGAGGAGCATCAACCTGCTCCACTGTCTGAATGAACTGAATGATCGTTCTCTGGTGGAGCAGATCCAACAGTACCTGAGATCAGGACGTCTGTCTGAAGGTGAACTGTCTCCTGCTGAGTGGTCAGCTCTGGCCTTCATCTTACTGTCATCAGAAGAAGATCTGGACCAGTTTGAGCTGAAGAAATACTCTGCTTCAGAGGAGTTTCTCCTGAGGCTGCTGCCAGTGGTCAAGGCCTCCACCAAAGCTCTGTGAGTCTCCTTTGTTTAACAGACGATGGTTTGATTCAACTTCTACATAAACAATGTTTTCTGTCTCCAGACTGAGCGGCTGTAACCTGTCAGAGAGAAGCTGTGAAGCTCTGTCCTCAGTCCTCAGCTCCCAGTCCTCTAGTCTGAGAGTCCTGGACCTCAGTCTCAATGACTTGAAGGACTCGGGGCTGAAGATGTTGTGTGTTGGACTGAAGAGTCGTCACTGTAAACTGGAACAGCTCAGGTCAGAGGGGTTCATATTCTTCATTATTATTACTTTGTGCCCCTCCTTGTGTGAAATGATGGGTGTGTGAAAGTGCTGCTCTCATCACATACAGTGTCACAGAGTCGTGACATTTGGAACAAAGAATCCAACATGATGAGGAACACAACAATAGAACATGACAGGGGTTCTCCTGGTTGGAAGCAGGAATAATATCTGAAATCCTCCTCACAATAGAATATAAATGTGTGGAAACGTGAGTTTATTTTAGCCTGAGCAGTGACACATGAACCATCAGTGTCTTGAATCACTGAAGAGTTACTCTCTAGTTGTTTCAATCTGAGCACCAATCATTTAACACTTTTTCTACAGTTTCAAAAGATTTCCTCCTCAGACTTTTCGTGTGTTAGTGATTGAATTTCTGTCCTTTTCAATATTGAAGAATCTTTAAATTTCAGGTCATTGGGTTTTCATGTTGTTTTTGCATCAGTGTGAACTCCAGTCTAAGTTTGTTTTTTACTATAACTAATGCACCTCCCTGGACATGTGGCCTTAAAAGCCTCCCACACCATCTGAACGGATCAAACTGATCCAATATTCATCTAAAAATACATATTTTCTTTTTTTAAACTAGTAACAGTTTCTGCGTCCCTCACATGACTCATATGAAACACTGTTTTATTTGAGGTTTGTTGGGGCGTCACAGTAAACAAACAGATACAGGAGCGTGATCTGACGTCATCATAATGTGCATGAGGGAGTTGATGTGTCACATAATCCATTCTTGACTTTGTATTCTGCACTTTAGTAAAGGTGAAGTATCTGGAAAGAGGATTCACACAGCACCATGCATCTGTCAAACCTGACATTTGTTGGAGCTCATTAAGAGATGCAGAAAGAGCGCCCTCTACAGGCAGTGGGCGCTTACAGGGATCCAGCTCTGGATTATTCACTAAATTTAACTCTCCACCAAATATGATGTGTTCATCTTTACATTTGGCAACAAGTCCAGTTCCATGTTTGTCCATAATTAGGAGCATGTACATTCACCAAAGTGATGTTTTTTACAGTAATTGTGTCCGACTGTGATGATCTGTCTTCCATCTCTATGATTAAATCTGTNTCAATGTGCTGAAGGAGAGAAGATTCAGCTTGGTGACACTTGTTGGTCACTTCTTTAGTCAAACACGAGCAGAACTCTGCAGCTTTGAACACCTCCAGGTGCTCTTCATCTTTGACGGTCTGGACGAGTGCAGACCTCCTCTGGACTTCACCAAAACCGAGGCCCTGAGCGACCCCACAGAGTCCGCCTCAGTGCACGTGCTGCTGGTGAACCTCATCAGGGGGAGCCTGCTTCCCTCCGCTCGCCTCTGGATAACCACACGACCCGCGGCGGCCAATCAGATCCCTGCTGAGTGCGTCTCCATGGTGACAGAGGTCAGAGGGTTCACCGACCCGCAGAAGGAGCAGTACTTCAGGAAGAGGTTCAGAGACAAGGCCGACACAATCATCTCCCACATCAAGACGTCCAGAATCCTCCACATCATGTGTCACCTGCCGATCTTCTGCTGGATCGCTGCCGCAGTCCTGGGACATCTGTTGAAAAGCAGAGAGAGAGGAGAGCTGCCCAAGACCCTGACTCAGATGTACATCCACTTCCTGGTGGTTCAGGCCAAAGTCAAGAACATCAAGTATGAAGAAGGATCTGAGACAGACCCACACTGGAGTCCAGAGACCAGGAAGATGGTGGAGTCTCTGGGAAAACTGGCCTTTGAGCAGCTGCAGAAAGGAAACCTGATCTTCTACGAGAGTGACCTGAGCGAGTGTGGGCTGGACGCTGCAGCGGCCTCAGTGTACTCCGGAGTGTTCACACAGGTCTTTAGAGAGGAGCCAGGCCTGTACCAGGACAAGGTCTACTGCTTCATCCATCTGAGTGTGCAGGAGTTTCTGGCTGCTCTTCATGTCCATCAGACCTTCATCAACACTGGGATCAACCTGCTCTCACAGAAACAAACATCATTTTGGACAAAGCTTTTTAGCAGCAAATCAGTGCAGTTTTACCAGACAGCTGTGGACCAGGTCTTACAGAGTCCAAACGGACACCTGGACCTGTTTCTCCGCTTCCTCCTGGGTCTTTCACTGTCGACCAATCAGAGCCTTCTACAAGGTCTGCTGACACAGAGAGGAAGTAGCTCCCAGACCAATCAGAAAACAGCTGAGTACATCAAGAAGAAGCTGAGTGAGGATGTGTCTGCAGAGAGGAGCATCAACCTGCTCCACTGTCTGAATGAACTAAATGATCGTTCTCTGGTGGAGCAGATCCAACAGTACCTGACATCAGGATGTCTGTCTAAACGTGAACTGTCTCCTGCTCAGTGGTCAGCTCTGGCCTTCATCTTACTGTCATCAGAAGAAGATCTGGACCAGTTTGAGCTGAAGAAATACTGTGCTTCAGAGGAGGTTCTCCTGAGGCTGCTGCCAGTGGTCAAGGCCTCCACCAAAGCTCTGTGAGTCTCTGTCAGGTTTAAACCCACCTAAACATTGTAAAACAAGAAGAAAGACAAGAGATTAGAATCGTTTTCTCATGAGGAGGGCGGACAGAGAGTGCATTCACCGTTACAATCTCGACCTGCTCTGGTGCGTCTCCTCTTTTTATTGTCTTAAGAGGGTCCCTAGTTACAATGGGTGTCTCCGGTCTCAGGGAGAGGGGTGAAAACAGTGGAGACACCAGACATGACAATATGTGTTATCAATAGCAGGTGCATATGTTGTTTAGCTTTCAGACACAGCAGCCTTGGAAGTCGTCTGCTCCCAAGCTCCGAGAGCCTTGAGAGTGTTTGCTCCCAGGAATCGCCGTTGCTCACACATGACTGCATACAGTTTCCAAGCACAAAAAAATTATTCAAATACATAAAGAATGGTACATAGCAAATATAGCAAATATAGGATAATATTATATTATATATTATTATTCTAACAGTCTCCTTTGTTTAACAGAGGATGGTTTGATTCAACTTCTACATAAACAATGTTTTCTGTCTCCAGACTGAGCGGCTGTAACCTGTCAGAGAGAAGCTGTGAAGCTCTGTCCTCAGTCCTCAGCTCCCAGTCCTCTAGTCTGACAGTCCTGGACCTCAGTCTCAACCACTTGAAGGACTCAGGGCTGGAGATGTTGTGTGTTGGACTGAAGAGTCCTCACTGTAAACTGGAACAGCTCAGGTCAGAAATATACAGACATTTACTGGTTTAAAGTTAATTCTTTCCCTAATTTTTATCTTCTTTTTGTAGAAACTGTTACTACAAAAAAAGTGTATTTTGTGTTATTCTGGGTCCTTGATTTTTGATGTGTTGTGCAAGTTGTTTTCATGAAATGAATAACTGATGGTTCAGGTTTAAAGTCAGAAATACAACATCATCCTACAGGAGAAATAGTCCTGTTTTTGTTTTCATGAATACATTTATTTTCTTTACAGATTGATTGTTGAGATTGGGAGTGAAAGGATGTAACTGAACTTGTCACTTCTGTTCTGAGTTCTTCTCTAATGAGCTCCTGTCTCCTCCTCCAGACTGAGCAGCTGTAACCTGTCAGAGAGAAGCTGTGAAGCTCTGTCCTCAGTCCTCAGCTCCCAGTCCTCTAGTCTGACAGTCCTGGACCTCAGTCTCAACGACTTGAAGGACTCGGGGCTGGAGATGTTTTTTGATGGACTGAAGAGTCGTCACTGTAAACTGGAACAGCTCAGGTCAGAGGGGTTCATATTCTTCACTATTATTACATAACCTGTTGGTGTTTGTGTTGGAAAATCACATTTGATAAAGTCACATAAAGATCTGGGACTTGTTCTTTGTCTCATTTGGGTTGAATGTTTCTAATGAATGGACTGATTCCAATAATCTGTGTCCTCAGACTGTCAGGTTGTCTGCTCTCAGAGGAAGGCTGTGCTTCTCTGGCCTCAGCTCTGAGGTCCAACCCCTCCCATCTGATAGAACTGGACCTGAGCTACAACCATCCAGGAGACACAGGAGTAAAGCTCCTGTGTGCTCTACAGGAGGACCCCCACTGCACACTGGACACTCTCAGGTATGGACCACTTTACTGTGGACACAAAGACACTTTGACTAAACATGTGGACAGGATTTGACTAAGAATCAAAGTGACTTAAAGTGTTTTTTCCTCTCATCACAAACATTAGAAATGTCCATTCAGCACAAAAACGAGTTGAGCTGCTGCGTCCTTCATGCCCCATGTGCTGTATGAGCCAGTTACTGATGCTGAGTGTGAATGTGGTGTATTCATCATCCTCAGGCCTCAGCTCAACATCGTCACACAGATCAATATAAAACCTTAGAGCTGTGAGCTGCATTAAAGCTCCATATGACACTATTTGATGATCTCTGTTCTAATGTCGTTTCCTCATCACAAACACACCTGGACTTGTCTTTTGTTTCATTCACATGTTTAACACACAAACCTGCACATTTAGGCTGAGCTCTTCTCTCAAACAGAAAACACTCTGTGATGTCATCATGTGGTGATACAGGAAGTGCTCCACTGTGTTTTTAAACTCTACAGACCTTCACTAGAATCATCTGGATCATTTCAGTCCTGGAATTTACCATTTCTACTCAACAAAAGGTAAAAGGAGCTTTTAACTGGAAAAGTACCACTTGATGACATCACAAGGTGGAACAGAGCATGTTGAGATTTGGAGATGTTACAGAGTAAAGGTTCATTTCTGCTCCTCTTTCGTCCATAAACAGATCCGTTTGTTCCAAGTGTAGAAACCGTCTGTATTTATGGTCCAGGAGCCAGAGCCTCCAGCGCGATTCTTCTGCTCCTTTTTCTTACTCTGATGTTTCATGAGTCACACCTCGGGACTTTACCACTTCAGGGTCTTTTGTTTCAGCTCCGTTCGGTCTCAGGACCCAAACCCCTTTTGTGGACCCCTCCTTGTGTGAAATGATGTGAGTGTGTGTAAAGTGCTGCTCTCGTCACATACAGTGTCACAGAGTCGTGACATTTGGAACAAAGAATCCAACATGATGAGGAACACAACAATAGAACATGACAGGGGTTCTCCTGGTTTGGGAGCAGGAATAATATCTGAAATCCTCCTCACAATAGAATATAAATGTGTGGAAACGTGAGTTTATTTTAGCCTGAGCAGTGACACATGAACCATCAGTGTCTTGAATCACTGAAGAGTTACTCTCTAGTTGTTTCAATCTGAGCACCAATCATTTAACACTTTTTCTACAGTTTCAAAAGATTTCCTCCTCAGACTTTTCGTGTGTTACTGATTGAATTTCTGTCCTTTTCAATATTGAAGAATATTTAAATTTCAGGTCATTGGGTTTATTCATGTTGTTTTTGCATCAGTGTGAACTCCAGTCTACGTTTGTTTTTTACTATAACTAATGCACCTCCCTGGACATGTGGCCTTAAAAGCCTCCCACACCATCTGAACGGATCAAACTGATCCAATATTCATCTAAAAATATATATTTTCTTTTTTAAACTAGTAACAGTTTCTGCGTCCCTCACATGACTCATATGAAACACTGTTTTATTTGAGGTTTGTTGGGGCGTCACAGTAAACAAACAGATACAGGAGTGTAGCTGCCGTTGGCGGCAACTGTCATACATTTAAGTTCATGTTTTATAACATTAAATTATATTCATATTGATATATAGTAAATTATTTTAAAAAGCAATATATAGCATAAATAAGTTAATTTTCCTGTAAGTTCATTTTAATTAATTTCATTTTTATTTTGGTTGATTTGCTCCACTTCCAATTACATATTGTTTCGAGGGGAAGTTTTTTACGGCTGCACAGTCTTAATTGAGAGCCACACGAGGAGCTACGCTCTGACCTCTGAGCCAAAAGGACATTTTATTTTAAGTTAAAAGTTTTACAAGGACAAGACTTTATTCCCTTTGAGTGGATGTGGCCAATGAGGTACATTTTGTGTTATTTTATTGTGTAATTACTTTTCTGACTGTGTTTTGTATCTGAGGGTTAATGTTAAGTTTCATTTTTTCCTTTCTATAGTTCTGACAGCATGCGTCGGCATTAAGGTTCATTTACATGTAAAGACATGTACAAGACTCCAGTCCGAATAAATGCTCGTTGAAACCAAATAACGATTTTGAGCCTTGTTTCAACTCGAGGGGAGTAACAGTCAGAACTCAGCCTGCTTCGCGCTGGAGGAGAAGAGCGAGAGCCCGGCCTGATGCTGCGGAGCTGAGCCGACAACGAGCGCTTGTAGCGCGCACCTTGTTAAGGATTACGTCACTCTCACTACGGCAATCGGGGTCCAAAAGTACAGCGTGGATGAGCTACAAAGAAGTAACACGTTTATACAAGTTAAATGTGAAGAAGTAGATTATTCTTGCTGATATTAAAGGGACTCTATTAAGTGCTTAAAGGGGTAAAGTGCAGTGGTTTAAAAATAAGTTTAAGTTGAAGTTAATGCTTGTTTTATGTTAAGTGACTGTTACTAAGCTAATTTTAAGTTGATAACAAGGGTTTTGCTCATTTTAAAGGTGCATTAAGGTACTTTAAAGGTCAAGTCTTTATTATTTAGTTTTATATTGAAAGTGATTTTCTGTTTACTACAAGTGAAAAGCAGTGTATCATTTTTGGGTGATTATTTATTTATTACATATTTGAGTTAAACTGACTAAGACTACGACAGTACAGCAGACTTAAGTGACATGGAGCAAGAAGACCGTGACACTGAAGCTGTTGAGCAGCAAGAATGTTTTGAAGAAGAGTCAAACCCACAAGAGCCAAGCACAAGTAAAAATGAGGGTTTGAGGAGAAGTCGAAGAGTGAGAACACTCACTAAAAAGGGCCAAGCTCTACATGAAGAAAGAGTGACCAAGCTTCAGGCTCGCTTCAAAGTCAGTTATGATAAGTGGAAAGCTGCAGCTAGACAAGGTAAAAGGGTGCTTGAAGAACCTGCCAGTGCAAAATTATATGACGTTATCGTTGAGATGGAACACATTTCAGCAGAAGTGAAACAAGCCTATGATGAGCTGCGCAGTTTTGAAACTCCTGATGCAGACACCCGCCGGAGAGTAGACACCTGTGAGGCTGTCTCTAGAAAGATAATACAGCAAGCACGAGCAAACCAGGCAGCCGATGAAGATAAGGAAAAACTGCCTGAAAGATTAGCTCACTGGAGTGATGCTGGATCTGTGTTCAAGTTAACAGCTGTTCAAAAATCCAAGTGCTCAAGTGAATGTTCCAGTCACAGCAGCAGGTTGTCTGTGAAGCAGGAAGCAGCTGCAGAACTCGCTGCTACTGAAGCTACTCTGAAGGTTATGGAGGAAATGGAACAAGAGAGAAAAGCACTTGAGATCCTTGAAGCAGAGAATGCTGAAAAACAGAAGGCATTAGAGCACAAGCGCAGAGAGCTCGAACGCTTGGAAATGGTGAAGAAAATGAATGCGGCCAAAGCACGACTTAAGGTTTATGAGAGAGAACTAACTTCAGATGAAGAAATATCAGATTTTCTGCATGATAAGACTACATCAAGAAAATCCAAATCTGCAAGTCTACCTGCACCTTCACAACTCAATGCAAATGCTCAACCATTCGTCTGGTCACAAGATCTCACAAGGTTACAACCAAAAGCCCAAGCCACGCCGGAAGATAGCACCACAGCATTGGCGCAAGTTCTAGCAGAGTCCATTAACATCAGTCGTCTACCAGTACCAGAACCTGCAGTTTTCACCGGAGATCCTCTCAAGTACAGGGATTGGAAGATGTCGTTTCAGATGCTGATAGACAGAAAGAATATCCCAGTGAATGAGAAGATTTACTTCCTTCGCAAGTATGTTGGTGGACCAGCAAGAAAGGCCGTTGAGAGCTACTTCCTGTTGGGAACAGACTCAGCATATTATTCAGCTTGGAACACTCTGGAGGAAAGGTACGGAAGTTCATTTGTAATTGCCAAAGCCTTCAGAGATAAGTTAACATCGTGGCCGAAGATTGGAAACAAAGACAGCACTGAACTGCGAGAGTTTTCAGACTTTCTGAGAGGATGTGAAGCAGCGATGTTACAGATTAAGAGTCTTGAAGTTCTAAATGACTGCAGTGAAAATCAGAGAATGCTTAGCAAGCTCCCTGATTGGCTAATAGCAAGATGGAATAGGAAAGTCATAGAGATTGAAGAGCAGACCGGTTCCTTTCCAACATTCAACAACTTCGTTGATTTCATCACAAGAGAAGCCAAAATAGCGTGCAACCCAGTGACATCACTTCAAGCACTCAAGACAAGTGACACAGAGAAAGTGAAATTTTCAAAGACTCGAAGTGTTGGAGCCAAAGTACTAGCAAGTAGCACAGAAGAGAAATCTGACGCAAGGAAATGTGTGTTTTGTGAAAAGCCAAACCATAGCATACACACATGCAGAAAATTCATGGATAAAGCCATAACTGAAAGAGTCAAGTTTGTGCAAACTAAGGGACTGTGCTTTGGATGTCTCACCTTTGGACACCAATCCAAGAAATTTGAAAAAGAGAAAAGTTTGTGATACATGTAAAGGGAAACACCCAACGTGTTTGCATGAAGAACGAGACAGAGAGTCTAGAAAGAAAAAAGAAGAGAAAGACTTGAAAGAACCTAAAGAGACAAAGCCTACAGAAATACAAAATGAGGCAATATCAAACCGTGTGATTCAAAGTGACAGAAGTGACCTCACGTCTACAATCATTCCAGTTTGGTTATCCACAACAAGCAACCCTGAACATGAGATTCTTCTCTATGCTCTTCTAGACAGCCAGAGTGACACAACATTTGTTCTGCAAGAAAAGGCAGATGCTCTCGACACTGAGAAGAAACACGTACAGTTAAAGCTTTCAACCTTGTCTTCTAAGAATACACTGGTTCCCAGCCAGAAACTGTCTGGACTTCAAGTTAGAGGCTTCTATTCATCAAAGAGAATCCCTCTTCCCATGACATATACAAGAGAGTTCATTCCTGCCAATTTAAGTCATATTCCCACATCAAAGACAGCAAGATCATGGCCTCATCTAGAGCACCTGGCTGAAGAGATCGCCCCGCTGATTGAGTGTGATGTTGGTTTGCTCATAGGTTACAACTGTTCGCAAGTGCTGGTACCCAGAGAAGTTGTGTCAGGGGAAGACAATGAGCCCTTCGCCCAAAGAACCGACCTTGGCTGGACAATAGTTGGAGGTGTTAATCCATGCGTTGATTATGGAGACGCTATTGGATGCAGCCACAAGATCATTGTCAAGGAAGTGACACCAATTCAGTCATCAGAGCAGTTGTCCAAAGAAGTGCATTACATCTGTCGCACAAAGGTCAAAGAAGTGGTGACGCCCACAGATGTGATTAAAGTGCTAGAGTCTGACTTCAATGAAAGGACAGTTGAAGATTCTCACTTCTCCCAAGAAGATTTACGCTTCATTTCCATAATGGAAAAGGGTGTCAAGATGAAAGCAGATGGACACTGTGAGTTACCATTGCCGTTCAAGGAAGACAGGCCAAGTCTCGCAAACAACCGGAGCTGTGCAGAACACAGACTCAAG